TCTTATAAATTGTTTTATTTTTTAATATTTATTTTAAAAGTTTATTTATTCATTTTGAGAGAGAGAGAGAGAGAAAGTGCAAGCAGGGAAGGGGCAGAGAAAGGGAGAGAGAGAATGCAAGCTGATAGCACAGGGCCGGATGCAGTCCTCAAACCCATGAATGGTGAGATCATGACCTGAGCTGAGATCAAGAGTCAGACGCTTAACCGACTGAGCCACCCAGGCGGCCCTAAATTGTTTTATTTCTTTTTTTGTTAACTTTGGGACCCCAAACAATCTTTTCTTTTTAACGTTTATCTAGTTTTGAGAGAGAGAGAGAGAGCAGGGCAGGGACAGAGAGAGAGGGAAAAAGAGATCTGAAGCAGGCTTCCCACTGACAGCAGAGAGCCACGAGATCATGACCTGAGCTAAAGTCAGATGCTTAACCAACTGAGCCACCCAAGCACCCCTAAATTGTTTTATTTCTTAAAAGCAGAGTAAGTATAGACTGTTAAATGTCCGAGTAGTCCTGAATTTCCCTGGGAAGGCGTACTAGATACTGACATTTCATCGATGCCCCATACGGAGGAATTTTTTACATAAATAAATATATATATGCATCAATTTAAAACATCTATCATAACTTTAAAGTACTACATTTTTATTAACTATAGGCTTTAGTCCTCAATAAAATCCTGATGGCAAAGTACAATCTAGTCTAAAAGAATAAGGAATTCAAGCCATTCTGGTCTTTCGATTATGAAGTGCAGAGTCTTAAGTGCTAATAGGGTATTTTCTGCGTCCGCTATTTGGGTATCTGATTGTTCGTTGATTTTCTTCGTATACCAGTGTCGCGCTAAGGATGGCTTAAGGTTTCACATATATCATGAAATGACAAGAAGGCTTCATTATCACATAGCTTCTTTTAGTTTCCCCAGAACCATTTGAAACATCTAAACAGTTGAAAAGTGCATCCCGGTAATATACTGAGAAACAAGAATAGTGAAAATAGCTATTTAGCTTGAATTCATTAGGGGTCAATTACCCATGTTGCAATTCACTTAATTTCCCACTTTCCACACTGAATTAGTTATGTGAATTAGTTAACAACCCAGCCACCACCGCCATATCAGCTAGCACTAACACTGCTTTCCCTCATCGGCGCTCCACACTGGCTTGGGTTGTAAACCACAGCACCAGGTGGAAACCGTAGCCAACCTGGGTGTGCTGCACGGGCCTAGGGAGTTCTTCGTGCTGATACGGAAGCGAACGAGGCCAGTGTAATTATCAGTATCAATAATAGAACCAGCGCAAGGCATAACTCCTTGAACGCAGCAGGCACTCAGTAAATATTTCATCAAATTAAATTCAATTAACAAAGTGCTTACAATAAGAGCCTGGAATCTGCTACCTTTCCATTTGCTGAACCAGCTGGTAAAACCGTGTCTGCGAATGAGCCAACCCTTTTTCTTATTTCTGTAGATACTACCATTCCCTTTCTTCTTTCCTCTCGTTTCAAGCACCGATAATAACAGTTGCCTTACAGAGCACAGGAAGATTCCCTCCAAGTCATCTATGTATCTCCATGAAGAATTTCTCCTAACGTTGAACAGTATAATTACCTTTGGATCTTCACAGTATTTTTAGCCTCCAATGTCCTTATTTAAAGCAATATATTTAATTACATACCTATTTTATCCCTTGCCAAATGTGGATTTTACTTACTGAAAATGTTCCTTCTGACCTTCTACTTTGACTTGTAGACTTCGACTTTGACTGTTTCCTTTCCTTAATCCTTCCTTCGGTGCTGGTTTGGGCCCAAATATTCAGTCACCAACTAATGAGCGGGTTGTGATCTAAAAGTTTTTTTTTTAAAAACTCTGAATGCATTTCCTCCATAGAAACGTTGTTCTTTCTGGCTGTGGGATACGCGACAAGATATTTAATTTCTAGAAGTCTCAATTTTCTCATCTGTAAGTTAGGTATAATGTTAATGCCTCTTTTTGATACTTGTCCTGAAGATCCGCTGATTTTACTTCCTAAATATTTCTACATCTGTCGTTTCTTCTTCATCCCTACTGTCGCCGCCCTACTTTATACCTTCATTGTTTCTCACCTGAATCATCTCAGTAGCCTCCTAGTGATTAGCCTGCTTCCATTTTTCTTCTCCTCTTATGATACAACTGCTGTGCCAAAGTGATCTATCTAAATGCAAATCTGACCATACAACTTGTTACAGTGGCCTGTCATCATCCGGTGGGCAAGATCCAGGATCTTTAACATGACTTAGAAGGTTCTTCACAATGTTCTTCACAATCTGTATCTCTGGGTTTTTTTTTTTTTTTTTTTAATTTTTTCAACATTTATATATTTTTGAGAGCAAGCATGAGCAGGGGCGGGGCAGACAGGGAGACACAGATTCCGAAGCAGCCTCCAGGCTCTGAGCTGTCAGGATTGAGCCCAACGCGGGGCTCGAACCCACAAACTGTGAGATCCTGACCTGAGCCGAAGTTGGACACTTAACCGACTAAGCCACCCAGGCACCCCTCTAGATCTCTGTTTTTAAAGGCACTGAACTGCCCTTAGTTCTCCTACAATGCCCTGCCATTTCTCACCCCCTTACCTTTATTCAAGCTGTCTCTTCTGAGCCTAATGCCCATTCTGCTACCTTTTCTCATTCTCCTCCACCCATTCCTCCTTTAAAATGTAACTTAAGCATCAGCACTTCCAAGAAACTTTTTTTGGACCCTTTCAGGCTGAATTAAGTAATCTTCATCTGAGCATTTTACATACTGTATTGTGCCGTTTATCTCTTTCTATATCTGCCTTGCCAACCAGACTGTAACCACTTGGAAAGTATGCACTTGGTCTCTTTCCTGATTACACCAAGTAATATGGTACCTAGTACATAGAAGGGGCTGAAAAAATGTGGATCGTAGCAATTAGCATAAATGACAAACAAATTGACCCTAACCTCCATTGATATTATTATTTCCAGTGGGGAGATATATATCTCTGTCTAGATGACTCCAAGAACACAGTCCCCTATGCAGCAGTCTCAGAGAGAACTTTCCTTCCCACCTCCTACCCCTACAACCCTAATGCATCCCTAGTTGTTATTTCTAACAGCTGTTACTTACCATGAGAGTACATCTGAAATAATGTGATATGGACTATAGTTAATGCTATAGTATAAACAAGAATAGCCTCTCTTTACAAGGGCAAGGTTGTGGCATAGACCTAGGAAACATTTTTGAAAGCCAGTGAAGAAAGCCTGTCTTGAAATTGAGCTAAAGGAGAAGCTATGAGCTGAGTTAAAATCCTCCTCAAAAAAAAAATAATTCTGCATTCATTCCAGTAGATTAAGTTGTTGATTGAGGCCCCCCAATTTTTTGACCATAGAGCAGCGGTTTCCATACAGTTCAGAGGGGTCCTGAGCCAGCATAGTCCTAGGCTTTCCACTTTCTTTTTTTTTTAATTTTTTTTTAATGTTTTTTTATTTTTGAGAGAGACAGAGACAGAATGTGAGTGGGTTGGGGCAGAGAGAGAGAGCGAGACACAGAAGCAGAAGCAAGTTCCAGGCTCTGAGCTGTCACCACAGAGCCCATCGCGGGGCTCAAACTCACGAGCTATGAGATCATGACCTGAGCTGAAGTTGGACGCTCAACCAACTGAGCCACCCAGGTGCCCTCCACTTTCTACTTTAGCCAGAGCACCTTCTGAACTTTATGCCAGTAACTGGAGATTAGGTGTTGAACTCAACTCATAGTCTTAGCTATGCATCGTTCATGTCCACAAAGTCAGAGGCCATGAAGAATCAATAAAAGCTGCCACCTCCATCTTTTATGTGGTTCCTAGCAGATTTCTTCTTAAGACGTTGGGGTAGGAAGGATAACAGTGATCATCTGTGATGCCTAAAGCCTACCTGTTTCTTACATTGCTTTGACACGCCCAGGCATGTAGTTTGCCAAGGAAGACACTGGCATAGAATTTAGGAAGGATATGGGGCGCCTGGGTGGCTCAGTCAGTTAAGCGTCTGACTCTTGATATTGGCTCAGGTTATGATCTCACAGTTTGTGAGATATTTTCGGGCTCTGTGCCAACAGCACGGAGCCTGCTTGGAATTCTCTCTCTCCCTGTCTCTCTCTGCCCCTCCCACATGCACACACTCTCTCACGATAAATAAGTAAACATTCAAAAACCAGAATTTAGGAGGGATATTCAGCAAATGTGATGGATCTATAGATTGGGAGAAGTGGAAGAACACCATTTCAAGTAAAACACACCCAGGTCCAGCCACATGGTAATATAACTATAAAGTTAATAAGGATAAGCGATTGTCACTTAGTATGAACCTTAAATAATTATAAAAATAAAAATGTGGTGGGTGAACATACAATTTTATCTGTGCTGCCTCCAGTAACCCCACTGAAACCAAACAAAAGGGAATTTTAAAGGTATAAATCCACAGAAACAAAGACTACCAGAGAAGAGAAAATCCAGGAAGGCTAATATCTGAACCAGTAGTGAGTACATCAAAAAGTTATCCAACTTATATTAAAAAAAAAAATTGGCATAGCTAACTACCTCTGAAAGAGTGAATGAGGTTGGGGCTCAAAACAGGAAAACTTGTTGAAAGCTGTTGGTGAGACATTCACTCTCAGATTTTCTCCCGTACTCCCCATAGCTACGGCATTGCTCCTGTCAAATCATAACAGAGTATTGGAGTTTCGTTCTCTAAAAATGGTAAAACAGAGATTCCTTGGACTGTGGACAGAAGTCATAGTTGAGTGTGGGACTATCATACTGAAATTAGGGCGGCTAATTCAGAGTTTACGTTAATGACAGTTGAGACCTGCCTTCTTTCCCCAATTGGCTGGCAGCCAGGTATATGGCTTCAGACAAGAGACCAGAAAGTCTTTGAAGAATCTGAGCAGCCCAAGAGAAGAAAGACAAAAACAAAACCCAAAGACACTGACATCTGTGGTTCCCCAGTAAAAGAGACCAAGCAGCTCACCTACCATGATGACCACAGTCTACAAACTCCCATCTCCACAGACACAAACTTTAGTCAGCCTCACTTCAATATGATTGAACAGCCAGGGACAGTAGACATTTGAGGAAACCAGATAATACGAAACACAGAGACCAAAATAACAGAAACATGACTCAGAGGAAACAAGGACTATCCAGAAAAAAAAAAATGCACTTTAAAAACACCCCTATATTTAATATCCTTAGAAGAAGGAAGAGAAGATACTGCACCCATGATAAGAATAGTATCGCATATGAGAGGAACATTCAGAGAACGGAAAATAACTCTTGGAAATAAAAATAAGTGAAAATAGGCAAACATAAAAATAAAAAGGATCCGAGGAGCAGTCCAGCATGTCCAATAGCTGAATAATAGGGCCAAAGAGAAAGGAGAGAAATAAAGGAAAGAGAAACATCAGAGAAAAATGAAGAAAACCTCCCAAAGCAAATAATACATCAGTTTTCAAATTGGAAGAGACCAGAGTGCCCAGCATAACAGATGAAAACAGAGCTAGAGTCCTCCTACCAAAGTAATCATCACAAAATTGCAGAACCAACAGGATAAAGAGAAAAACCTACACTGTCCAGGAAAAAAAGAAGTATGTGTGTGTGGGGGGGGTAATATAAAAAAATCAAGAAGCAGAAAAACAATGACTCCTTAGAAGTAACACTGGAAGCTAGAAGACAGTAGAAAAATAATACCTTTTAAATTCTAAGAAAAACTATTTCCAATCTAGAATCAAATACCTAACCAAACTGTCAGTTCAGTTGGAAGGAAAAACAAAAACATTTCAGGCATATCTAAGGTCTCAAAAACCATATTTTCCATGCAGTCTTCTTCAGAATCTACCAAACTGAAAGAGTTGACATAAAAATAGGAAGGCATGGTGAGAAGAAATGGAAATCTTAACACAGAGAAAGAACCCCAAAATGGTAATGACAAGAGATGCCAAGAGGGCAGCAATGCACCAAGCATAGGGAATAACTGGCCCAGAGATGAGGGATTCCCAAGGTCTCAGGAGAAGTCTGTGCAGGAAGATGATACTGAGAGAATAGCCAGCGTGTTTGAATTTATGGAGAGAAGAACTGTTCAATCGGGGAAGTGTTCGAGGTTAAATGATCCCTGAGTACATAAAAAACTAAGCAAACAAATAAATAACAAGGCTATTATTAGCACCAGAGACATCAAACTTGTGGTGCTAGGGGAGAAAACTAGGGAAGACCACATGGCCTTAGATGTCAGTGGCACTTAGAGTAACATAAACACCACACACCGATCTCACCAAAATGAAGAAGCAGGTGTAGCACGAAAGCAGTGGGAAGAGTGAGCATCAGTGGAGGGAGCCACGTCCTCATATTGCCTAGTGGGAGGGCAACAAACACCGAGAACTGGAAAGTCAAAGAGTAGAGAAATGGACAAGTTCACTAACCATAGAGGGGTAAGAACTGTGCAAATCAACCAAAAGAGTTAAATGTGGTGCCCGTAGCGAAAAAACTTATAAAAATGACCCTTTATGGACATCGTTAGCTTTGATTAAAATTAAAAAATGAACTGGAAAGTGATTATGTAGCTGAAATCCTCCCTGGGTCTTCACTTTTAAGTTTATGATCAATTGTAATGAATAATTTATACTACTGCATGAAAACGTTAGGTAGACCCAGTCAAGGAAGAGCCTGTTTTCCATAAAGATCCAGTCTGTCTTCTTGAGATCCAGGAACTAGAGAAAAACAGACCTTCCAAATGTCAGGTGAAATCTGGACTTTTACAGTTTCTCCTGTGAAAGTGATGACAAGAGTAACTATCATCTGCCTTCATTCCTAGTAGTGACCACCAAACCCAGATCATACCAGAATAATTTATTTGCTTGTGTTTGAGTGAGATAATAAGAACTCTGCTATCTCGTATTTAATAAGATCTCAGGTGGCTTCTCTATATTCTGCCTTGCTTATGGACACGCTGTCTTAATCAAGATGTTTTCTCATTTCATAAGGACTATCAGATAGCTACAACCAACTGGATGCCTAACAGAACGGACAGAAGTGGATTCTGTTTCTCAGCTATTTCCACAAGAAACAGCAGAACCCTGATAATTTACATTTTAGGTGTAATGAAAATTTTAAGCCGTTATATTAGATATGCATGTATAATACACAGAAAAATTGGTAAAATAATTGAAGTATGTTTAATATTGGAGATATAACATTATCCCCCCCCCCCATTAGTAAGAATATAAGCAATTCACTATTATGCTGTTTCCACAAGCTATCTGACAGAGTTTTTGAGACAAATCTCCCTAGGAGTATAATGATCACACTAGAAGATTTAAGTTGCCTTAAATCTCTACCAACAAATTAACGAGAAAGATACTGTGCTGTTACAATACAATATTCTGTCCATTAACAAACAGATGTTTATAGATATATGATCAGAACTTGGAACCTACTTCTTTATGATCAAAACATAAAGCTATTAATGGGGCACCTGGGTGGCTCAGTCGGTTGAGCGACTGACTTCGGCTCAGGTCATGATCTCACGGTTTGTGAGTTCGAGCCCTGAGTTGGGCTCTGTGCTCACAGCTCTGAGCCTGGAGCCTGCTTCTGTGCTTCTGTGTCTCCCTCTCTCTGACCCTCCCCCATTCATGCTCGCTCTCTCTCTCTCTCTCTCTCATAAATAAATAAATAAATAAATAAATAAATAAATAAATAAAGCTGTTACCAAAACATTTCACCATAGGATTATAAAATAACACAACTTCCAAGATTGACAGGACCTTAGTCACTAGTCAGCTCCAGTAATGAGCACTGCCATTTATTGAGAACTTACTAGGCATATGACACTACACAGGTTTTAGAATATTCTCCCTAATTGTTAGAACGCTATGAGGGTAAGTGTGGTAGGCAGAATGTAGCTTCCAGAAGGTGTTGACTTCTTAATCCCAGAACCTGCAAAAATGTTCAGGAAAGGGGGATTAAAATTGCTATTCAGCTTAGTTTGTAGTAGGGAAATGATCCTGGATAATCCAGGTTGGCTCAGTGTCACAAGGGTCCTTAAAATTGGAAGAAGAGCGGTGCCTGGGTGGCACAGTCACTTAAGTGTCTGACTCTTGATCTCAGCTCAGGTCATGATCTCACGGTACACGAGTTCAAGCCCCGCATCGGGCTGTGCGCCGATGGCGCGGAGGCTGCTTGGGGTTCTGTCTCTCCTCTCTGCTCTTCCTCCACTTGTGCTTGTTCTTTCTCAAAGTAAGTAAATAAACTTAAAAATTTTTTAAACAGTGGAAGGGGCGACAGATGAGAGGTCAGACTGATGCCCTGTGAGGACCCGGCCCTCCTTTGCTGGCTTTAAAGATGGAGGAAGGGGCCACAAGCCACAGAACGTGGACAGCTTCTAGAAGCTAGCACAGACCAGGAAATTAATTCACCCCAGAGCCTCTACCATCTCAATTTTAGCCCAATGAGACCCATGTCAGACTGCTGATCTTCAGAACTATAAGATAATAAACTTGTGTTGTTTTAAACTATGACATCTGTAGTAATTTGTCAAAGCAGTGATAGGAAAGTAATAAATAAGCATTATCATCTTACTTTTTCAGTGACAAAAGTCAGGTTGAAAAGATTGAGAAACTGCCATAAAATCATGTAGGTAGTAAGTGGCAAGGCTGGGACTAGAACCCAGGGCAGTGTGAGTCCCAGACCTGAGTTCAGCCTGTAGTAAATACCTGGCATTGATTGAACACCAACCAGATAGGAGGCAGTTTATAGACAAGGAAACTAAAAGCCAAATGTCTAACTCTACCGAGGTCACACATCAACATGGTGCCGCAAGCGGGTTCAGAACCCAGGTTCCGTCCTACCCTCTCTCGGGCTTTGTCTTGAAGAACGTACGTCATGTCGAAATACAAGTGGAAAAGTCACATGGGGCAGAGATACTAAATAACAGCTGTGCAGAGAAAGGGATGCATTTGCTGTCTCCTTCTTGTTAGGGCAGTTCGGTTTCCTGAAAAAGTTTACACTGACCCCAAATCCTTTCCGTCACTTGGAACTGTGCAGCTCCCAGGTAGCTGGTCTGTGTTTCAGTCGTTAGTCCCATTAGCATATCTTTCACCTTCGAGGAAGCTTCTCATTAGGTGAAATGAGTGAAAAGCTTATCCCCCGTGGCGGCACAGCTCTAGCCAGGGCAGGGATGCAGCGCCCTTGACCCTCCCTTGACCCTGGCGTTCCCTGGAACAGACTCTCCAGAGAAAGGATCCAAGACGTTTAAAGGGCTATGCTCTTATTTTCTGTTACTTTTATACACAATCTAAATCTTAACACACAAACAACACTTATCATGCAAGTTAAACAGATTTAAATTTAAGCAAAATTGAGTGCCACCACATGTGCTTATGCCAGATCTATATAATTCTTTGGAGGTTTCTGGAAACATGAACCAAGCCATTTATGCTTCATAGGAACAGATTATATCATTTGAAATCCTCAATAAAAATGCAGTCTCATATTCTACAGATGGGTGTCATTTAATTAAAATATGTATTTAAAATGCAAAGGGCTACATTAATTCTTCACTGTGGCTGAGATTTTAATTGCACTTGAGTTAGGAAATTCTGAGTTAATGTTCCCCTGGCATCTCTCATCCAGCCTCTTAGAACAGATGTATTGTGATCTGAGGAGGATTTCAATATGTTTTCACATGCTGTCCATGTAGGGATGGCTCTGAGATGTTAGGGTAGCAGGCATTATAAAAACAAGGAGACGGCTCCCAGGGGAAGGAGCCCAGCAGCCCGTGGCTGGTTGCTCCCCTGCATTCATACCTCATCTGCCTCTTCTACACCAGCTATCACAGGAAGGTTGGCCTGGGGCTCACATTTTTGGTGGGGGACCGACTTCCGTATTTAAAGGGCTCAGAACTTTGAAAAGCTCAGGCATTTTTTTGAGAACCAATTCCACAAATGTCATTTAGTTTTATTTTGTTAATTTTTTTTAGTGTTTATTTATTTTTGAGACAGAGAGAGACAGAGCATGAGCAGGTGAGGGGCAGAGAGAGAGGGAGACA